TGATAAATAGGGTACCAAAATTTATGGGAAGGTCTCACCTTTCAAGTCATGTAGGTTTTTATCATAATTTTAGAGCTCTTAACCAAATTTCACTGTGATATGTTGATAGGCGCTACCTTAGACCTACCAAAATCGATAACTTTCTTATTCACACGTCATCCGGAAAAAGTAATGATGCAGAAATGTTTGTTTTGAGGTCCTCTAAAATCTTGCATTCAAAACCCCAATGTGCAACACAACAACTTTTATTTTGTCACACGGTGTAATTAGAGCTTATTAGGCATACTGACGAGACGCTTTCAGTGGTCTGTGTCTGAAAATCAATTTATGGTGGTCTGAAATTGCATTTTATCTAGTAGAAAACTCCCATTGAAAAATTGAGGAGGAAAAACAACAAATTTTAATATTTAATAAAAAATCACAGTTATTCTGAACTGTACTTATTCCATGTGCACCGTTATGTTACCATACGTACTTTTAAATGGAGTTAAATAATTGTTATATTTTTGGTGCCATTCATGATTGATGTCGCAGTCGAATAAAGTGCAAATCATTCTGTACAAGACCTCGTGACCAACGTCCTAATATCATATTGACTTCAAAATAGAATGATTCGTGTCATTTGTGATTTCCACAAATCTCTTTATAAGTCATTCGATCGATCAACCGCTGAACAATCGATCAAATTAAATTCCAACATAGAAACAAGATTTTTTTTTCTTCTATTTATACATTCTCTCGGTGAGAGAAATGAGCAAAAAAATGAAAACAGCTTCCATGCAATGTTGTCAATATTTTTTGCAGTCTATAACAATCGAATGAAACAAAAGAAAATGCAAATTAAATTTACCCCTCGAATATGCATATTTCACAATTTTGTTGAGCAATTACTTCAAGTGGTTAGCGGGTTGTGGTGAGTTTAATCGAAAAACGGTGGAAGTTCAGCCATAATTTTATTCATTCAGCTTTTTTATGAAACGAAGGTAATTTAAAGGTACGGAAGAGAAGAAGAGAAGAAGTTTGCCACGAAAATCGATATTGCATAAATGCCATAGTACTTACTCAAAGCAATCGCAGCAAATGAATAAATGAATTCTGCAATTCTTCTCATTGATATTAACATATCAATTCATGACTAGCATGATACAAAGACAAATAATCGATCATATATGTATATGTTGCATGGGTATTAAATACTTGTCCTCAGTGAATAATAGCCGACTCGTATAAGATATGCTCCAAAATTTTGCACAGCCATAAAAGCTGACTCACTGTTCTCCAGATGCAGTTGAATTCAATAAATACCTTTCAGTGTTGTGCGAGATAGATGACGTTTTGATAGATATGATTCACACTCGTTCACACTGTACTCGCATTTATCATGAACATTATCCAACTTTCCAATGTGAATAGTTTCAATATTTCATAATTGGCAGATTTTGTACACGACATTATTTGAATTTGCTATGAGCTTCGAATCATAGCTTTGCAGGCGAAATGGAAGTATTCTCATATAATCACGAGCACCAAGTTGTTGATAGGCTTGTGGGTGAATTTGACACAATATGCTATATAATTTCTTAACCATATGTCAACAAAAAGATCAACTAATAATTAAATTGAGTGAATGAAATGCAAATAAAAAGACTTATTAACGACAAATGATTCGAAAATTTGGCAGTTATCCGCATAATCCAATAAGCAATAATTTTTGATATTATGTCGTTTCTGTGTCGCTTTTAAATTGGTAAAGTCAACGATCATACCGACTTATGTCTCTTCTAGACGAAATCCGTGTGCGAATACACCGATGTGTGCAACGCGAATTTCAATCAGCTAAAGCGTGTTTATGTTCCTTTCAAGCGTACAATTAAATTGAAAGTGTGTGCTTAGAAATGGAACCTAACGACGTTGATTGATCATGCCAACGTTTATATTACTCTATTGAAAATATATGTTCGTGGTGACGTTGAAAGAGAAAATAGCCCGTTAACATAAAAGTCGTTTATTATGTCTGGACGTTGATGGAATCGAGTTTATCAACTGAAACTGGTAAAAAAAGTGTGTGTATGTTCAGCGTGTGCCAAATTTGATTGTATAATAGTCCCGAAAATTGGCATTGAGATGTTGTGTTTAACATTTGCATTTCTTATGCAATAAACTAAGAAAATGGAGAAGGAGACGAAGCAATAGAACCAGGTATTGACGAAAATTTAAAACAAAATTGATTATCGGACGATATGGATCGTAACCAGATTTGCGAGTTTGGTTTCACCTTGGTGTAACACCTCATGTTAGGCGAGACAATGTGATATGATGTGTCGCCAACTTCGCGATCACCATAAATATCCAACCAACGATAAAACAAGAACGTCAGCAGAATTCCGAATGATCGTGGCTAGAAATGCTCTTTAAGACTAAATGAACATGCATAATTTATAATGGAAATTAATTCGCTTTTGGTCATAAGATATGAAATAAATTACCCTATAGATTAATTTGCCAGAAATGTGATTTTTATAATTTTTTATTTCTCTGTGTTCACTTCTCATTTCAGAATTGGATTGTGTGGCTTTGAAAATCCGATGAGAAGTCCAAAAACGGACGAGCTTAAACGCCAAATCGGCCAGGTAATTCAAAAAACAATTCTTATCAATCGAAAATGATGCATTCTCATTTAAGGTACACATTATTCAACTCTTTACTGAATGAATTCGCAATCTCTATTTTATGGGATCGTTTACGAAAAAAAAAACAATTGTGTGCCTAATGAACACAACACATAATCACGCTGTGCTATATTCGTATTAGCTTTAAAGTTGAATAGGAAATTGCAAGCCATAAAAATATTCTGTTCCAAGCAGCAAATCAATTATAGTGATGTGTGAACCTACTACTGTGTGATCATAATGTAATCGTAATTCAATTTTTAGCTCTCATTTCATTTGTACGAGAGCAAAAACGTAGCACTGGAACATATTGCATGATTCTTAGGTATTAACTGTGTGAGCTGCAAGTCTTTCCGAGTGAAGCTGTTACGATTTCAGACAGAGAGAGTGAGAAAGAGAGAGAGAGAGAGAAACCGACTTTTGAACCAAAACAATAACACAACAACAACGACAACTAAAAAAAACAATTGCGTAGTTTTTGTAATGTATATATACATATAATGTACGGTTGTTTTCAAATCTAAGAGGAATTTTTTTTTCTCCATATTTACTTATTTGCCTCACCTCTCTCTCCACGCACTGCGGTCTCTTTCTTCTTTTTGAACCAATTATTCATAAATGCTTTCCCATGTTGTGCTTCATTTGTTACTAATGTAATAATAGCACATTGCCAACCATAGTATGTGTTTATTTCTACCGCAGTCGCGCTGGAAATCTTTTGCGAACTGTGAAATGTTCGCAGATACCTTTGTGTATTGCAATTGGCAACGCCATTGGTTGTAAGCTAATGCATATTTTGAATGTGCTAACGAAATTGGTCACAATTGGCACACTTTTCGTTATAGTGTACTTGTGCTCGGTATTATTTATTTGCGCGCATGTGTAGCATAATGAGGAATCTCTGTAAAAACTGCAAACTAAAAAAAAACACGAAATAATCTACTGAAATGTATAAGAGGAGAGAGAAAAAAACGCAACATGAGCTCCAACTGAATGGGATAGTAGCACCATCAGCTCTTACAAACGCGTATTACATTTTTTATTCGATTCAAGGTTGACAAAATTGATACCATACTATTCCAGTTATTGGACTTTTTTTTCGTTTGTCCTAACCGCAAACTTTTATAAAATCGGTTGATTATTTTTATGTTCGAGCAAATCCAAGTCGATTTCATCCCTTCCTTCTCTTGCAACGTAAATTTAATTTAAATCAGAACAAACACAGCTTCTTACATATAACACACTCGTCACTTGCACCAATGACATCTAGCATATCGATGAAAGGGACTGTGTCAAAATTTCAGCCGTACTCTAGAGAAAATATACATAAAGTTAGCAATTGTGCTTATTCTACTCTGTCAGGAGGTATCAACTTTATCTCCAATTGACAACATTCGTTGTTCAAACTCTCCGCTCGGTAAAATCTGTCTGCCAAATGCCGCTAAGATTGATATTCATTGTTGTGTTTCGTGCTCTCAAACCGTGAATCATTCCGTTTAATCCAACCATACGGTATCCATTATCCCGTATGTTAGCAGTATCTTGCTCAATTTTTCATATGCTTCCTTTTATTTATAATTTTCTTTGTTTTTGGTTTTCGTTTCGGTTTCGGTTCTGGTTTTAGTCTCTTTTTCTTTACACGATGTCATTGGTCGCAAATACCTTCATAATACAAGATCAAATTTACCGTCGAATCATGCGCACAAATCGCAGCAGGCTATATTAATTCGAGTTTGTATGTAGAAATATGCAAAAGAAATATGTATATATGATTTCTGTGTGATTGTTTAAGTCTGGTAGGTTTAATAGTTGATTCTTAAGGCTATGTCGGCGCTTTTTTTCACAGTCCATTTGGACGAACGCTACTCTTGTTGTTCGATGCTCGTTGCATATAATAATGTTTTGGTCTATTGAGCGTTTAAAAAAAAACACACCCGCGAGCAATCGAACTGGTCGAAAAATACAGGCACATATATGTATTCGAAAGGATCTTACCTACAACCGATATGCTGACTGATAAAATAAATACGTACGTGCGCGTTGTGCACATTACACAAAGCAGCAGTCAAAATAGTGGAAAAACGATTGCTTAGTGTCACAAAAATGCTTACAATAGACTCCGTCAATTTTAAGACTATGTATTTGTGTGTGTGTGTGTGTGTTTGTGTATCTGTGTATTATAAGCGAGACAGGGAATTGTCTTTTTCTAATGGTCGAATTATTGCGATTTAATTTACGTATTCTTCGTCACACATATTTTGAGTTGCATACTAAAACCTTTCATTCACTTTATATATTGGAATGGCTTTTTTTACGGCATTTCACTCGTTGCATTTTACTGTGTGTCAGTTGCTGACACTTGGGTATGTTTGTGCCGTTTCTTGCAAATTGCGCAAAATTCAGAATGTTTTCCTTTCGTTTCGGCTGTTGCTTTGTTTTTATTTACTTAGAATTGTATACGGGTGTTTTTTTTACTATGCTTCATAAAAGCACATTCAATTTCGATCGCTTAATCGCGCCTACAACTCAATATTGACGAGTCTTTTACGCTCTACTTCGATATATTCGTGGTTGCAATAAATTCTTCGCATTCCACAAATATTTCTTAGGCACACATTTTGTAACAAACACACACACACACACACAATCCGTTATATGTGTATATGAAAATGCGATAGTTTTGTGGATTTGATGAATGCTCTTCGCTTCTTCAATATGGCGCCCAATAAAATCACATTTTACGAACTTTTCCCCCAAATTTGTGAAATAATAATCATTGGAAATGTTGGATTCATTCGTTTCATTTGGGAAGTCACAATAGGCAAGTAGGTTGATATGAAACTGAGGCAGCAAGTAAATGATTCAATGAAGACGAATCACCTTTCATTTTTTGTATGTTTTGATTTAAAAACACAAAGAACAGAAAAAAATATTAAATGCCTACACAAAATTGGCAATCATTAGAAATGCCAATTTGTACAGAGTCACAGAGAATGGAACTCATGGAGAGTTGAAAAAAATGCGTTTTTAATTAAGCAAACAAATGCTCGCCCACTCATACTCTCACGTCATTGCAATGAGCAAGGTTTGCCACCAAATGTGAAGGAAATATTCATTCCAAAAATTATAGAAAATGAACTGAACTCAGTAAGATCAACTTGGATTATAAGATCCATACATATTCATTAAAAGTTACTGTTTCTATATTTACTATCAATTCTAATTTCATTTTTTCAAACACAAAATTGAATCGCACAAAAATTTGTTCGCGCAAAAGAACTATATTTGAAACTCCGTTACAACTGAATAACTAATAAAATCCTCGTCGTACGTAGACTATACATTATTTCAATAGCATTAAATTGAGTATACGCAAACCAATTGGCATTCATTTTTGACTCACGAAATGTATTTAGCTAAGCAACAAAATGAAACACTCATGCAAACACAACAGACACACTAATAAAAAACAAAATTTCAACAATTAAAAGTCACACAATACTAAAAGCGACTTGGAGCCAGCAGTCAAGAAGAAATCGAAAGTTGAATGTCAATGTGCCTTAATTCGATGTCGTTTGGATCATTTTGCTTTTCGAAGAATTCAATTGTCTTAAATTTACTATTCGAATCAGATTCGCATGAACGAAAAGAGTGATATTTCATCAAGTTCAATTCGAGTGAAGTGGATTGAAGTGAAGTGATTCAATTTTGTCTATTGCCATCAATTCGATTGTCTGTGCATGTATGTATGTGTATGTGCGTGCACTCATTTCGTACCACTTGGAAATTCACTGCACGCATTTGATTTGGCTAGTCGTTTCGATGCCGTTACCAATTCAATCGCAAGATGTAGCGACTTATTTGTGTGTACTAGATCTTAAAATGGAATCCATACTCATTTCAAGGTTGATATTGTTCACATGGAAAGCGCATGCGAACGATTTCTCCCCCGAGTTTTGATCATTTTGAAATGGTTTTTATTCAATTCATGAATATTTTCGTTTTTTGTTCTCTTTGCAGGGTGTGAAAATTAAAATGGATGATGCCGGTAACATTTTGATACGTCGCTATTCGCGGAGCAATGTTTATATAAAAAGTACCGCCAGCAGTTCTAAAGATGAGACGGCCATTGGCAATGAAATTCTGAAATTGCCCAATCAAGCGTTGGAAATTGAAAAAATTTCGAAACTTTTTGATGTAAAAAAATTCCAATCGAATATAAGCCGTGAATTGAAGCAAGCTTATCCCGATCGGCGACGCCTCGAGTTACAGTGTTTGTCGGCCATATCGTTTGTACGAACCGAAACCGATGTACTGGATTGTCCAATATGGGTTCTCATTTTGAATGTAGTTGCCATGGACATGTTGAAAAGTAAAATGCCGCCAAGTAAGTATTTTTATTGAAACACTTATCGTTACATTCAAACCTATTGACAATGGCCATAATCTGTCCAACACTATGCCTTAATCGAAGCGGCTTATCAACAAAACAAAAATATAAACAAATCTTAAATTCAAACTGATAAGTCTTGACTTTGATACGTTATTCCAAAAAGAATGTGGTCCATTTTCGATATTGAAATGCAAAAACAGCAGACGTTCAGACCATGGTCCCAGATCAAATAATTTATGTGAACAAATATAACAGATGATCAACGGAAGAACCTAGAGATAAAATGTAGATCACTGCAAAAGTAATCAAATGGAATCATCATTTTCCAAACAAATGTGAAATATACACAAGAGGCACGCAAAGACCTTGAAGATCAAACAAATATATGTATATGTATATGCATTTTACAAGGTTAATCTATACGACACCCAAAAAATATCTTCAATGTGTATATATTGGTTTTCTTTGTGGAATAAAAGCGAAACCAAATAGAGCGATACACAAAACGCCGAAACAAAAGCCAACGAAGCAATGTGAACAAAAGCGACCTAAAGATGTATGTTGAAATTTATTCGGTCATGAGAAACTGTAAACTGGCACTTTGGTCGCAGAATGCAACGGTGTTTTGTGTGTTCGCAAAGCACAAATGTTGGATGGGATTTCTCACAATCTTCTACCGGATCGTGTGGAATATAACGCAAAACCGAAAAAAGGCAAAACACTCGCAAAACGTTTCATGTTTCACAAAACAATGGAGGTGAATAAATTGGCAAAACACTTGGTTTGCTCTAAATAACAATTTATAATAAAAACTGAAATAATTTTACCCATTTCCACTGTTCATTACATAATGTGGCCGACATTCATTTGGATTTTTATTCATTTTGATTACACTCCACTTTTGACATGATTTTAAACGATGTGTTTACATATTTTCCAAAAGAACTTCTTTCGAACATAGTATTATTTGGGGAGTAAATATTCTCATTTGCAAAAAAAATTGTATCTGCAAAGGACACCTTATATTAGCTTATCGATCAATATGGATGGAAAATATGATGAAAAACGAAGACAAAATCTTGTCTCATATCATTACACATCATAAACTCGATGTCACACGTAAATATGTAAAAATGAGCTTTGAATGAAAAATGCTCAACTTTGTTCGAACAAAATGTGTACTACTAATGTTCAAACATATTGCTATTGTAAATAGAAACAAATAGTGAATTATATTGCCATCGTTGCTGCTTCACTTACGTTGAAAGCTGACGAAAATTCACACAAAGATGAGTTCAATGCTTTGCTTTTGTTTTCCGAACAGGAAAAAAGACATAAAAGAAGAAGTCATTCAAAACCGCAACATATGCAGTGAAACTTAAGCGAATTCATGATTTATACTACACGCGTGTTACATGTGAGGTAAATCAAAAGTAACAGTTTGCCGAGCAGTAATTAATCAAAGTTATTGTTAAAATTTAGCTCACCATTTGGTTGACACGATATTTTCTTATATTGCAATTTCGATGCCTTTTACATTCAACCATGTGTAGAGCTAAACCGCACTCTGTAGCCACCAAAAATTCGATTTCGAATGAGAAAATTAGTTGCTCTCCAAAACAACCAATGAAACGGAAATAGCTAAAGTGTTCAACACGAAAAAAAAACAAATCACCTCATTTGCACCGCTTTGTTTCCATTGGTCCATTGTGCGAATATTTTTTAATTATAATAATATTGAATTATCAATTTGAATATACAATTAAAAACAAGTGCGATAATTATCTCGAATTCAATGCATTAGTTTGCGAGAGTCGGCATAGTGTTAGTCTGATTCCAAAACGTATGACATCGTGATCTCTGTTACTACCGATTACGTGTAGGATCATTGAAGTCAACAGTTAATGTTTCTGTCTTGTTTATCTTTCTATTTCAATGTGAACGGAAAAAAAATGTGCCATATAAAATGCTGATGATGATAAACACGCGATGATGCAAACCTATATTATTATTAATCGCAAATCGTTCTACTAATGTGAACACTTCTTCAAACTACTGGCAGTTTTCATCCGCTTAATTCAAAATGATTAGTTGTGATGAGTTATTTGATTATTTCACTTTTGCTTAAGTCAATGAAACCCAGTGCATTTTCGTTATAATGGCCTACAAAAAATGATTTGAACTGAAGGAAAGTTGTCATTAAACGTATGTGACTGTGTGAGGTCGGGATCATATCATCTTGAATATGGCAACAGTTATTTCAGTATGAAAATCGCACCGATTGACCTAATGATATTGACATTTTAATGCAAAACAAAATTAAAATCCATACTCTAATATTCGCCCAAACAACAACCTGACTCCGGCCAATCATGATTGCCATCTCAAAATAACGTCAGCCACAAACACCGCCATTGTCATTCTCTCGTCTTCATCATCTTTTTGACTTCATGCATAAGCAATCATTTCCATAGTAATAATTCAACTGATTTTACGAATATAATCTTCTCTCATGCAGCCGACGACATGACGAAAGTCATTTATGTCATTTAATCAGCTTCGTTGACTTCATTTCTTTTTCTTCATCTTCTCTACTTCGCTTGTTTGCCCCATCGACATCTTTTCTATGTTTAGCTATTATGCGGTTTGTCTGTGTGAGTAACGGCGTGGATTTCTTGAATATGCAAAATCTATTCGCATTATATGCCGAAAACTTTATCACATTACCATATTCATAATACGTTAATTTATCATGCACCTAAATTGAAAACTGAATTAGAAATAGAAAAAAAAACGTCTTGCGATTACTTCACTCTGACAGATTTTGCGAATTTGCGTATTTATTTGTGAGTTTGCGAAAAACTGAAAATTATTAAGAAATATGCAGCTACATGTTGGAGTTCAACATCGTGAGTTTACGCTTTAAAAAGTTTTACAATTGCATGGTTTCGGTTCAACGCAGATGCGAACCATCGCTCGACATCGCCGCGATCTTTTATTTACAACGTCATATTGGAGACAAAAATCATGCCATTGAATAAACGGATTAAATAAAATTTGATTTACAAAGTTGTCCGCTTGGGATTTTACATAATTTACGATGTCATGTTATCATCAAATTGGGAAACTCAAAACAGAACACGGCAGAAGATCAAAACACAGACATATACATGATACGCAATCTGATCCATCACTCTGATTGGCAAGTGCATGTCAAATTCTTTCGTTGTAAAACATTGTTCTGAGCATTGCATAACCATTTGTTATTCGAATCAAATGGCTTTGAAGGCTGCTTCGGGCGCTAAATTAACATCGTGTAGATTTTGCTTTTTTTTCTTCTTCGTACACAGTCTGGATGTCAAATGTGAAAAGAAATTGCATTCAAATGCAATCGATATGATCGCAAATTGGTCTTATGAAGCCATTTTTCATTACGACCCTCAAAGCAAAAATAAAATGTACATTTCAATCAGCGACAGTTTCACATTTTTGCCATTGAAGGCGTGCGCCAAATTATCGACCATGTTTTTTTTGTGTTTTCATTTTAGTCTATCTGACGTGATTCGTCAGACATTCGCGATACTTTGCATAGAGCGAACATAGTTTATTTAGTCCGTTTTGTCCACAAAAGCAATAACATTATGTAAATATTGTCACGATAGGGCAATAAATCACTCATATTTTGGTCAATATTTTGCTGGTAGGCTCAAAAATCAAACTCTTTCACAAAACCGTGATCGATTGTGATCTAAATTGATTGTCAATTAAATTGCTTTGTATGTCAAGAATGCAAGCCAAATAGAATACTGCTCTAGTTCTGTTTTTCATTTTCTTTCTTGCGTTATGGTAAACAATTCCGGATTTAAACTTTGAATTGCAAGTCATGCGCCGTCGTCATTTCAGCTTATAATTTGTGCACTCTTGTAGAAAACAACGATTAGTCCGTTACATGCTCTTTTCAATACAATTATTATTGACTACGAAGTAAAAAAAAAACACGCAAATTTTGTGATTGTAAACATTTTCTCTTTCTCCATTTAATCTTTGATGGATTGACCAAAGAAACGAAAAATACATTCACTCACCAAACATCGATATCATAAACGGTTATTTATCGGTTTTTGATTTGTATTTAATCACTGTTATTATACTTGTATCTATTGTTCCCGTTTGTTGGACTACATCAATTGTTTTTGTCTGTCGACGTTTGAATTGTTTCATGTATAGTTTATACATAATAGATGTGGACTACACTTTCCTCTTTTCTTTTTACACTGGCCAAAATTACCGAAAGTCTTTTTATGCGAACGCACGGTCACAAATAAGCAAATGATGATGGACCAAAAGTGCGTTAGCTAAGTGAAAAAAAAAACAATATTCTGTATTCATATTGATATCAGTGTCAAATACACATTCTTCGGTTCAAATTCATACACTGTGCCGCTAATGTTGCCTGTTAATTTGCTTTCACCAGTTCATTTAATTTGACCGATGGTTGCGTATCAGTTTTGGGACAGCAGCAGAGAAAAAAACAAAGAACAAAGACAGCCAGCCGTTCACGTATAAAAGTCTATATAGAAAAACACCAAGCTATTTATCTTACACAAAGAAATAGAATGTCATAGAAATAAGACGATAATGGCTTGAATTACATTCGATTTTTTTTCCCTGCACTGATTACTTTTCTTACAGTCTATGTTGCCCCCGTAGAAGAGAAAAAACAAACAAACCACAACTAAGGTTGCGATTACAATTTTCTCGTCATATTGTCTAATATATTTCCCATTTGATCCATATATCCCAGTGTGTGTGTGTGTGTGTGTATTGGAAAGGTTCAGCTGTGCAAGTCACATATCACATTTTGTTCAGTTCATAATCGATAAGAAACAAGATTTATTGATATATTTTTTTTTACTTCGTATATCGTTTCCGTCATCGTCATCTGATTAAGTATGACTTAAACTTTGATACAATCACAATCGTGTAATGTATTTCTGCTTTTTTTCGCTTCATACAAATAGATGATATAACGTTTTGATTTTGTGCGCGTTGTAATTCATTTTCATTCACATCGTAGTCGATTTTATTTGCTTTTTTCTGTTGTTCACTAACCTTATATTATTTGTGTTTCTTACCGCCGTCCAACATTTACACAAATGTATTTTAAGGCAATTTTCCACTTCTTCTTTTTGCAATCTCATACAACCGTCCATTGCAGTATCATATTCATTTCACTGGATACTTGCCGTGTTGACGAGCGATTTTGTGATCTCAATTTCACTTTGTCGCAAACAAATTTGTTTTAAACGTATTGTTGTGCCCAGCAAATTTTTACCGTGTCTCTTCATAGAGCGATTTGCTATCATTCCATTTTTGTAAACAGTAATACTTTCAATTCGAGATGATCTACACATCATCTTGGAGCTTCCAAGCGCTTAAAACACCGTACAACACATGTTTTCGCACAAGAGAAATTCCAATGGCGTTTGTTAGAGGACCTCAAAACAAACACTTCTGCATCATTAGTTTGTTCGAAACCACGTCTAGATTTTTTTTTATCGATT